AAGTATAACCCCAAAGGGACAGAGGAGGGAAGGGGATAAAAGATGAGGGGCAGAGCCACAGCACCTGGAAGACAGACAAGGTACCATCATGGCTGGGACATCAGCTAGCCAGCTCACACTACAGATCTGAAGTGCTGTTTTCATCCTTAACTACATATGGAGAAATTTGTGTTTTATAAAATGAAGGACTGGCAATGTCAGGGCGATTGAGACTGCCTGTGTTATCATTTCAAAATAACTGCTATGATTTTTTTCTCATTAGAGATTTATATTTAAAGGTAACTGTCAGGGAGATCCAAAACAGAGAAGTCTGGTTGGCATTTGAGCTTCATCAAGGCCATGACAAGTCTTGTTTCCAGGTATGCTGGCTTAAAATAAGTCTTATTTTCACTGATGGTGTGGATATTTTCTTCCTGAGATTACAGAGACTACATTAAAACAAAGAATAAGGTATTAAAAGGTGGTTGCTGAACAGGCCAACTCTCAACTTTCTTTCAAAATTTTTTTTCTAATTTAGGTTGAGTAAAACTAGTTCATAGACTATGATGATATAGTGAAGGATATAGTTATCATATGAAAACTGGAGTTCATAGCTACTGTGATTGTCTCTGAGGCATTGTAAAACTCTTATTAGTGGAGAACATTACAGTAATGATCTTGTGCGTGGTCTGTACATTGGTTTTTAAAACAATCTAGCATCAGAATACAAAGTCTTCCAAAATTCTATTCCCAAGACTGTTTTCCTAGGAAAGAGGAGGGATGTGAGAGGATAGTAGGTAGTGAAAATTCAGTATATATGCATATGATATTATCAAAGAATAATGTAAAAAGCTATTTAACCTAAGCATTTATCCTATTAGAAAGTTCTGATCTGTTGCTTTTAATAGCAGACAGGCACATAGGCAGCGAATTAATGTCACTGAACTAGAGCAGCAAGATTTTGATTTTAGGAGTGTAGACAAAGATAAAATCAAAGAAGATGACATTCTCCACATGGTGCAGCTTGATATATAAATAGCCTTACATCAATTCAGCACAACTTTCTGTACTACTAGGTACCTACCATATCAGAACATTCTAGATAAGTCTAAAAGTTGTGGATGAAAAATTAGAGCATTCACCAGTATAATGATTATGTAGACAAACCAAAGAAGTTCAGGATCCTCTGTCCACAGTGATTCATTGTGATTAGTCAAGCATCAAGACAGGGAAAATGAAAGTGCACTTCACAAAGCATTGAATGTATTACAGAAAGTAAATACAGATGTCCAGAGCACTTCACACCAAGAAATACTTGAAACACCAATCTCAACATTTATTTATTTTGTGTGCAATGACTTTTTATTAAATTTTTTATTTTGTGTACCAACCACAGTTCCCCTTCTCCTTCCTCCCACTCCCCTCACCCCCGCCTAACCCCCCACCTCTTACTCCCACCTCCAAAAGGGTGAGTTCTCCCATGGCAGTGACAGCAGAGCCTGGTACATGCTGTTGAGGCAGGACCAAGCCCCTCCCTGCTGCATCAATGGTGAGCAAGGTGTCCCACCATAGGTAATGGACTCCAAAAAGCCAGCTCATGCATCAGAGATAGATCCTGATCACACCGCCAGGGGCCCCTCAAACAGACCCAGCTACACAACTGTCTCCTGTATGTAGAGGGTCTAGTCTGGTCCCATGCAGGTTCCACAGCTGTGGGTCTAAAGTTCATGAGTTCCTATGAGATTGGTTCAGTTTTCTCTGTAGATTTCCACATCATGATCTTGACCCCCCTTGCTCATATAATCCCACTTTCCTCTCTTTGACTGGACTTCCAGAGCTCAGCCTGGTGCTTAGTTGTGGATCTCTGCATCTGCTTCCATCAGTTACTGGATGAAGGCTCTATGATCATAGTTAGGGTATTCACCAATCTGATTATCAGGGTGGGCCAGTTAAGGCACCCTCACCACTATTGCTAGTAGTCTTCACTGGGGTATTTCTTATGGATTCCTGGGACTTTCCCTAGCACCAGGTTTCCCCCTTAACCCACAATGTCTCCTTCTATGAAGATATCGTTTTTCTTGTTCTCTCACTCTGTCCCTCCACCAGCTCAACTATCCCATTCCCTCATGTTCTCATCCCCCATCCCCTACACTCTATTGCCCCACCATCCCCAGTTTACTCATAGGGATCTCCTCTGTTTCCCTTCCAAGGTGATCCATACCTTCCCCTTAGGTTCCTCCTTGTTTCCTAGCTTCTCTGGAGCTGTGGGTTGCAGTCTGATTATCCTTTGCTTTACATCTAGTATCCACTTATGAGTAAGTACATACCATGGTTGTCTTTCCGAGTCTGGGTTACCTCACTCAAAATGATATTCTCTAGTTCCATCCATTTGCCTGCAAATTTCATGATGTCATTGTTTTTTTTTTTAGCTGAGTAATATTCCATTGTGTATATGTACCACATTTTCTTTATCCATTCTTCAGTTGAGGGGCATCTAGGCTCCTTCCAGTTTCTGCTTATTATTAATAATGCTGCTGTGAATGTAATTACTATCAAACACATCTTCAAAATGTGATGGACACTTTCTGAACAATATCATGAATACACATGCTGAAGTAGGGGGAAGGGCTTAAAGCATTCCTACTAAAATAAGAAGCAAGGCAAATGTTCCTACTATCTTTACTTCTATTCAAAATGGTGCTTGAAATCTCAGCCAAAGCAAATAAAACAAAAAGGGAAGAGGATATGGGTATGAAAAGAAGCTAGACTATCCCTGTGTGCAGATGTAGTTCTAGAGAGAGAAGACCCTGAAGACTCCATTTGAAAATTCTTAGATCTGATAAACACTTTCAGTGAGGTGCAGGATAGAAAACTAATCTACAGCCATCAGTAGACTGCCTGTAGACAGATAACGTACAAATGAAATCATGAAAACAACCCCATTCTCAGTTGACAAAAAAAAAAACCAAAAAACCCTTGCAATAAACCTAATCAAGGAAATTCCTTTACAATGAAAAATTTAAAACACTGAAAAAATAAATCGAAGAGGACACTGGAAGAACAAAGCCCTGTATGCTCATAGATATTCTTTGGTGTCCATCGACAAAGGAAATGGGGAAGGAAAAGGAGGGATATGCACACACTGGATTTTTCTCAGCTATGAAGAATGAAGCAATATCGTTTTCCAAGTTTTGGCAACAATTGGAGACAGTTGTGTTGAGTGAGTGAAGTCAGTCTTAGAAAGACAGATAATGTGTTCTCTCTCATTTATGGTTCCTAGATTTTATGCAGATATACAAAAACATATATATATATATATATATATATATATATATATATATATATATATATGACAGAAAAACAGAAGTGACACCATCTAGAGGAATAAAGGAGTCCAATGGGAGGGGCAGTAAAATGGATAAGAGGGCAATATCAAGAAGCAACAGGCAGAATAAACTCATATTTTACTATATACCGATACAAAGATGTCCTTATGTAAGTCAGAACAATGTACAATGAAAATGTGTCCATGAAACACACACACACACACACACACACACACACACCAGCTCCAAAGCCATTTAGAATACTTGTTTACTTTCATGTATGTGTACTGTATTATAATATTTTGTTCCTTCCCTTTCTTCCCTCCATCCCTCCTTTGTTCACACTCTACTCCCTCTCAAATTCATGACTGTTTTCCTTTAATTATTATTGTTAAATATAATATATATATACAAATGAATATTAAATAATATAACCTGCTGAGTCTATTTGGTTCCAGAAACCATTTTCTCACTGGCCCTGCCCTTGGAGGCTAGCGTCTGCATACTCATCTGTATCTAAGTCTACATTGTAGTGTTCTTTTGTTTTTCGTGAGATAGAATTTCTGTCACTATATAGCCCAGGCTGGCCTGAAATTTGTGATCTCTGTCTTCATTAGTTGCTAGGATTATAAGCATGTCTGCAGGCATGGCACAATGATGTCTTCTTGTGGCAGAGCTCAGCTTCCTTTTCCAACAAAATATTCTCTTTACTCATATCCACTTTCTACATTCCCACATTCTGTATCAAAATCCTCAGAATGGAAGTTTTCTTAGAGAAGGTCCTTACTTTTTGGAGTTCTGCACATGGTTGTTTTGAATTGTTCTTATCTCCAAAAATTGTTCTGGGTTCTCCATGTCCACAGCATCCCAGGTAAAAGTGGTCATTAACTCTATTGCAGTGTCTTTATTTACAGAAATTGTATCTAAACACAGAGCATGCCACTAAGTTCTTCTGTTTTTAAAAATCTTCATCTACTTTTGACCAGATCCAGTGGGTGGGGGAGTTTGTTGTCACTTTAGTCAATTTCTCCAGAATCTTTTCCCTTCAATTGCTCTAGTTCTGACAGGCCCACTATTCACCACACTGTGCATCACCTTCACAGGCATATATTTAAATGATTAAGTCTCAGCCAAAAGGTGCAAAAAATAAATAAAAACAATTCTGGACCCTGTTGTCAATGATGTCCCACCTACTGCAGTCACTCTTGTCACGTTAGTACTCTTCAAACTGCTTGTCAATGTCATTATCTTAAAACAATGTCGGCTCTTGATAGTATCAAAACACCACTGTTAAATGTGTCTGTCACCATAAGGTACAGCCTGAAGGACTCCCCACCCCACAGTCTCCATGCTTAAGGGGCTAGAGTCATAACCTCTTGGTAGAGCACTTGCCTGGCATGGCATGAGACCCTGCATTTGATACCCAGCACTACACAGACCCAAAGAACTTCAGCCGTTGAGTTACATTTGGGCTGTTCTTGAACTTTTCTAGAGGCACCGTGTGTTTAGGAACAGGCGGTTTATGAGGATCAGCATTCTAAGCCAGACCTGTCAATTGTGAACTCAGAACTTTCCGCCACTGCTTTCCTAGGAAACTGATCAGAACGATTTGCCAATCTAAGAGCCAGGAGTTTCTGGATTTATTCACTGAGTCGGCTGTTACTTAAACAACTTTCATGGCATTCCTTCCATCAGCTCTATTTGCTGATGTGCTGGAAATCAGTGCCTAGTACTGATGGGATCGACCTGTCTAAGGTGAGATATTTTGTGATATAAATTCTTTATCTCCAGGGAAATCTTTAGCACAATCTGTATTTCTCAATAATTCAAGTGGATATTTTGGGAGAATTGAAGCTTTACATTGGCAATGATGAGGGACAATTAATGTTTGAGTTATAATGTGTATTTGCACTAGAAAATTTGATATAAACTTAAATATCTTGGACATTCTTTGACTTTTATTGGGAAATGTATTTTCATAACTGAATGATAAATTAATTTGCTCATCATGTTTCAGTTGTTGAATTTTATGCATAATGATCTTCCATTTTACTCACTTTATTGTTTATAAAGCATTTCTAGCCCTTTACACTATGTGGGATCTGCATATATCTGCTGAATTATAGAAAAAATGGTTGAGAAAAGGTTTTAGGTCCGCATTTTTTCTTCGAAATTCAACCACATTTTCTATCTCAAATTATTAAAGACCAGCCTTAATAATATTCTTCCCAGGGACTCAGAAGAGAAGCTACGAAGAGTGAAAATTATTTTCAGGAAAGGACTCTGCATATCGAGAGTTCTTTGTCTGTGTACTTTATTCCTCTGGGATAAAATCCTGTCTACACAGCTTCAGTTCCATTCTTGTGCCTAGCTCCTTTCTTGCCTGATTTCTCTCTACCTTTATTGGCTGTGCCCTCTTAAGTTCTGTCTTAATTCTCTCATCTTAGTTCTGCCTCATCTAGGTCTTTCTTCTCTCTTTCTTACCCATCTCATTCCTCCCCATCAGGCTCTTCCTCACCTTCCATGTCATTCTTCTAGTTCTCCATCTACTTCTCTAGTCAAAATCCTCAAAATCCTCTCTAAGTCCCTGAAGTTTACCATCATATACCCATGCAAGAGCAATGCTCTAGCTAAAACAAGGTCACCAGGCTGGAATTCTTACAGGGTCAAAAATGCAGGTAAGAGTTTTCCTCAGGCAGTGTCTACCAGGCTTTCTTTTACAACCCAAAAAGGGAGTGGTAAAGGTGGAGGTCAACTGAGAGCTAATATTAGAAAAGGAATTTATCTGCTCAATCTACATTCCTAGAAGTGGTTAGGTAAGAAGTCAGGAGTCTATAATGTTAGTAAGGCTATATAAGGAAGGAGGGTCTCAGTTTAAATTGCACAAGAAATAAAGCTACCCACCTGACCTATGAGACAGGTGTTGTTTTCATAAGGGTGTTACCTTAGTTCAGGAGATCATTTGGCCTTGGAGGCTTGATAGGTATTTTAGATAAATACACTACTAGGAGTTCTTGGAAGCACACATAGCATACAAGAAAATCATTGTAGGAGCTGGCATATATATATATATATATATATATATATATATATATATATATATATATATAAGTTAAAGTATCACCAAGACTTCTTAAGCCATGGCTAGACCTTCGGAAAAGTCCTTGACCTTTCCAAGTAGCAGCTTTTGTAATAGTAGTTGGATTCCACTGCATTTTTTTTTTTTAAGACCTGCAGCATTTTAGAATGCAAACAAGTAATGTCACTACTTTTAGAAAATCCGTGGTAAAATCCTGAGGACATTATTAGATATTGTTGTCTTATTTTCCTGGACACATTGTAATTCCAATAAGAGGTCTGGAAATACTATAGGATCATGGGGGAAGAAACGTGCAGGCTGGACCAAGGGTGGCAGATGGAAGGCAAGGCTGGTTTGAAAGAATTTATGAGAAGTTTCAGAAATCAGGAGGGAGAAAGTGTGTGTGTGTGTGTGTGTGTGTGTGTGTGTGTGTGTGTGTGTGTGTGTGTGCTGGTTTTAATGGGATGACAAGGAAGTTAAAAAAAATTCCAATGAGATAATCCATCTACTTCAAACCATCCTATCAAATTGAGTGAAAGCAAAACAAAACAACAAACATCCAAACACACAATGGGAAACAAAGGACCAAAGGGATTGAAGCTCAGGGTTAATTCCTAGTCATACTGGGTTTCAACAGAAGTGGGGTTTTTTTCTTTTTTCTTTTTTTACTTCTAAAGGATGAACACACAATTATACTTTCCAAACAAAGAATTTTCTCAACTACTTTCTAGTTTTGAAATCCTCCCACAAGCATGAGAAAACACTTAAAATAATCATCTGAGATATTTTCTGTTTACTCAGAAACTAGATTCTCTAAACTATATTTAAAACTCAGTTTAAAATTTGCATATGGTCATGCCAAAATCTTTTGATGACTGATAAACCACAGAATTTAAATGTGAATAATAGGACATTTAGAAACAACTAACAATTATGTGGCTTCATTCCTCTCAGTATAGAATGTACCTGCAGAATTAATGCCAGGATTTTCAGAAGAAAGAGTATAAATTCTTTCTTACCAAATGCAACTGTTCAAGCATTTCTTATCGGGTGAGAAAAAATGTAAGCATAGAGGTAGTGTAAAGAATTAAGCCCTTTCATTCTCTGCTGCTAATGATTAATTAGGATATGCACATGTAAAACATTGAATTAATACAGTTAAGAAAAAACTCAGTTGTTGTTAATTTGTATTTAAAAATTATTGGAGCTTCATCAGTTAGTAAATTAACTTAAGTTCCTAGTCCATTATGATAAATTTAGTTTTTGTAGACGTTGGTATTTATGATTATACTACATGTGAAGGTAATTTTTTTACTCAATTATCAAACTAAATACACGCGTGCGTGCGCGCGCATGCACGCACACACACACACACACACACACACACACACACACACACACACACACACACAGTATATGTGCATGAAAAGCCTGAATTTGTGAGTTAGCAATACAATGTATTCAAGGACTTAAGTGTTGCATACTTGCTCATGCCTCCAGACTCACACTAGGACAGAGCTAGGCATGACTACTGACTTCAAACAAATAGTGTTCACTCTTTCTAGGAAGCTTGAAGAGAAATTCATAATTTGTCCAAGAAAGAACTATCTTCTTTCTTTAGTTTCTTTTTTTCTTTTCTAGTTTTTGGTTCAACTACCTCACCCCTGGTGGAATTATTTCCACAGGCAGTCATCCTGCTACATTCTGTTTATCTATGTCTTCAGAGACTAGTCTATCATTTCAGGATGCCTTTGAGTCATAAAACAGCAAGGAAACACTTGTTTCTTCTCCTTCATTATTTGTGTTTGATATCTCTCTCCTGTGTTTGGTTATATATTTCGTACACTTTCCTGAAGATGAGGACATGAAATGAGGACATAGAAAGCCATTTCTTTCATTGTCTAACTAGATATGAAACAAGAATGCTTTTCTGGCCACTCAGTGGTCTCTGTACATGTAGGTACCATGGGAACAATTTGGATGGTGGTCTTGACTAAATCACTTTTTTAGGTAAGTAAGACAACTGGTCTACTACTTATTATCTTTCTATTGTGTCAGAGGAAGTATGTCACAGTGGCAAAGACCATCATCACTATCATTTAGGTGTGTGTTCTTCTACTGTCTCTTCTAAAAAAAAAAAAGAAAGAAAGAAAAAACCCAAGAAAGAGACTCATATCAGGTGAAAATATTCCACGGCAGATCTGTTTCATACACAGCCAGAGCTGGGATGGTGACACAAAACTTGTAAACATTCTCCATGATTGTTCTTATTGCTCTGGCTTTTTCTCAGTTTACATTTGAGGCAATGTGAGCTTTACAGGAGATTCTAATTTTGAAAGGATGAGAAAGACATGGAAACCCTATAATTAGTTCCCCCCTTCTCATGTAAATTCTTTATTATCAAAAGATAAAAGCATATTTGGAATGAGAAATACGTGTAATTCAGTTCTCAGCTTTTAAAATACATCATGTTCCCATGCATAGGCCCAAACCAAAAATGTTCAAATGGGGGACAAAGAGCATAGTAAAGGATAATAGGTTTGAAAGTTTAAACTCCAAAAAACAGTTTACAGTTTATGTAAAATTTGATGTTTTACATAACTTTCATGAATTAATAAAGTCTTGTGGGGGAAAAAACTGCAGAGAGCAAACACACACAAGGGATTCGGTCAAACAACTTAATGGCAAAGATTGTATGATTTTGTAATTGGGGAGGAACCAATGAAATGTGAGCTGAGTCTGGTTAATGATCTAAAATTATTGTTTGAAGAACTATATTAGAGCAGATTTCCCTCCACACATGTCACCTTTCCTGTCAAACCCAGGAGCATCTGGCCCAATGAAGTGGGTGACCTTCCTCTTCCTCCTCTTTGTCTCAGGCTCTGCTTTATCCAGGGGTGTGTTTTGCCAAGATGCACGTAAGAATTTTATGTTTTTACTGCTCTACTTTTATCTTACTTTCCTAATAATGGAAGCCCTGCATTTTGAAAGAGTTAAGGTGCCGAGGACAATTTTAAGAGCCATGCCATATTGCCTGCCTGAGTTAAGTTTCTGTTGTCCAGTATTGAGCCACCAACCAGAAACTTTTGACATGCCTGGACAAGATGTGAGTTATTAGAAAATAACTTAACATTTTCTTATCTTTCTGCTACAGTGACCATTAGTAACAATGTTTTGTGGTTAGGTTGCTTGGTTGGGTGGCTTGGCAACTCAATAGTCCCCTGATCTTTTCCCAAAGAAAGTTTCCTGGTCTGCTTACTATAGAACCCACCTGAGAAAAAATAAAATTTGGAGCTTGATCAGAATACTGTCTTGCTGCCAATTCTTTGTGTCTCTTGTCCCTTTCATTCGCCATTCCCCCTTCTAGGGTCTCTGCGGAAGGTCCCGCTGGCTGGGACATTAAGGTTTCCTTTAGTGCTTATTTCTAGACTTTGATGATATTTTGTGTCTGAGAACCCTTGTGTGGCTGTATTATTAATATACCTTAGACAGCTTAGGTGACAATAATGAGGGGATTTTTTTTAAAGTTTAATTTTACATTTCTTTTAATTTTGAAGACATGCTAGGCTGAGTGACTTAACCTATACTGAATACAGCTGAAGCCAGAATCTTCAAAGTCTCAAAGGCCTGTTTACTCTACTATGCTATACTGAAAACTAAACGTATGTGTTGTTAATTTTATAAATGGAGCTTCCTTTTGTATTTTCTTTCATTTCAGATTGTCTTAGTAGATCCTTAGAGACATGATAAAAGCATTGACTCTTAGGTTTGAATGCAAAGCTATAAACACTTAGACAGTTGTAAAGTAGTATTCGTGGTGAAAGGGTAGTTCTTTAAATGTAGAAGGAAGGAGTCATTGGCAGATTCATTTTTTTTTTTTTGTAGAGATCAGAGGCCAGTGTCATTAAGTAAAGGAATAGCTTAAGTGTGTGGAAAGAAGTGTGAAAAACAACATTATACTTAGTTGTTTTCATCCATCTTTAAATATGGTTTTTGGTTTTTGTCTCCCTGTTCCCACAGACAAAAGTGACATTGCCCATCGGTTTAATGATTTGGGAGAACAACATTTCAAAGGCCTGTAAGTTAAAATGTTGAAAGTCAATTTAATGTTTCTGGTAGTATTAGTTCCAGTTCTAAATTGCCTTTTTTTCCACCTTGAGCTTGCAAAATTGTAGGGCAGCACTGTCCAACAGAAATGTCTCTATTGAAGGAAAGACTGTGGACCGGTGCTGAGCATATGGCAGACAGAGGACACATGGTTACTGGGCACTTGAAACATGGCAAGCCTAACTGAGGAGCACACATTCAAATGTTATTAAACTTTGATTGAATATATCTACCCACTTGTGGCTAATGGCTGCTTTAGTGGAGGATAAGATTCTAAGGCCCACATTAAACTTGGGATGAATGGAATCTTAGTGTTCTTTCTGGGAAGGTCTATTATATATAACTCCTTGAGAGGCTAATTTGATAATTCATTACACAACAAGATCCCATGGTATAGTGAGAATATTATTTTGTCTTTTTAGAACCGGGGATTCACACATGTAAAACAAGTGATCTATAATTAAGTCACATCCCCAACCTCCAAAATGTTTTAATGTCATGAAAATAAGTATTTTAAAAAGATCAACAGTGTCATATACCTTTATTAACAGAGGTATATGGATTAGAAGAGAAATGACTCAAAGGAATTACATAATGTCTAACCTTGACAATGAAATGTATTTAGAACATTGTTTGCTTGTTTGCCCCAAGTTCATAAATCTACTGACACACATATGCATCTATACTTAAGCACAGTAGGAATCCATGTCCTTTTTGCTTGTAAAGGCACCTCTTCCTGGTTATGCCTCAGGGAAGAGCTGAGAGGAATAGGCTTTCTAGAAGGTTCTAAGAAAGGTACACAAAATATGGATGGTATACACGTGCACAATTGACCGTTTAGGAAAGCCAAATACTTCGTAGTAAAGTTTATTTCTATGTCTGTTTTTCAGAGTCGTGGTCACCCTTGCCCAGCATCTCCAGAAATGCCCATATGAAGAACATGTGAAATTAGTGAATGAAATAACTGAATTTGCAAAAATATGTGTTGCTGACATGTCTGCTGCAAACTGTGACAAATCAATTGTCAGTACATTCTGATTTTGAGGATCCCTTTGCCTCTTCTATATAATTCTGAGTATTTCAAAGGGAAACAACTACTTTCTCCCACATCTAAGGCCCAGGGAACACTGTGGAAGAGGGACAGAATGATTGTTAGACCCAGAGGAACAGGGATTTTGCTATGAGATTGTCACAAGCTAGACTCAAAAGGTCTCACCAACATGACTGGCCAAATGTGACCTTAACATTGACAGCACAATAGATATGCCAGGGTGGATGAAAGACCCCAAGGCTTAAACCCTACACAAAGAAATTCAGGCAAACAAGGATGCTCTTTGGTTATAAAGAGAGTCAGGTACTGGCAGGAATTTGACAGCTTCTGGTTCCCACTTAGCAAACTCTTTTTGGAGACAAGTTATGTTCCATTCCAAGTCTTTGTGAAAACTATGGTGAACTGGCTGACTGCTATATGAAACAAGAACCTGAAAGAAATGAATGTTTCCTGCAACACAAGGATGACAACCCCAACCTGCCCCCACTTGTGAGGACAGATGCTGAGACCATGTGCACCTCCATTCAGGAAAATACTGTGGTGGTATTCTAATTGTATTGAAATGTGATTTTGATTGTATGTTAATAAATAAAGTTGCCTGGGGGTCAGAGCTATTAGAGCCATAGCAAGAGTGTGGCGGTGGTGGCACACGCCTTTAATCCCAGCACTTGGTATAAGAGCTAGGTGGATCTCTGTGTGTTCAGGGATACAGCCAGCATTGGAGACATATGCCTTTAAGACCTGTGGGGCTGTACATACAGGCAGTGATGAGGCAATCACGTGTTTGTGTTTACAACCAATGAGAAGGCAGAACAAAAAGACTATGAAAAGAGATACACACAGGAAGTAGCTCTCTTTCGGAGAGGTAGGACCACCGCAGGAGGAAGGGTGAGATTTAAGCTCTTAGCTCTGACCTCTTGGCTTTCTCTTTTACATTGGTTCTCTGTTTCTTATTTAATAAGATGGTTGGCTACATGTACATCTGACACCCAACGTGACAAGAATCCTTTATAAACCGCTTGGCTTGGCGGCAGGTCCGGTTTCCTGTAAGGGTGGCAGGCTCCCTAGCCTGGGCAGCTCCCTAGTCCGAGCAGCGGGTCCCTAGCCCGGGCCCAGGTCTGCTTGGACTCAGGCCGGACTAACCGTGAGCTGCTTGCTTAAAGCAGGGGCTACAAACAACTCAGGCCTGCCCTGCTGAACAGGGCCCCTGCCTATAAAGCCAATGCACGTGGTCGGAGCTTAAGGAAGCCAGACCCAAGCCTTGACTCGGCACAAGAGGGAACACTTGGCTGGATTTAAGCTTTAGCCGGCTATGCTTTCTTGCTCTCTCTCTCTCTCTCTCTCTCTCTCTCTCTCTCTCTCTCTCGATTCACACCTTGGACACTGGTGGCTCTTTTGAAAATCCCCTCAAATTTCTACTGTTCTATGCAGATTTGGTAAGTCACAACTTATTAGATATTTTAAAGGAAACTATTTAAAAGAGAAATTTTTCCCACATTAAAAAAACAATGGGTTTTCTGTGTACATTGCAAGAATGGGTTTTGTTTGAAATTTTAGGCAGTCTGACAATGGAACAACTATATGAGAAGATTAGTGTTATTGGAATTATGTTGTTTATCACTATGCTTATCCTCATTTTACAATTTAAAAAGATAGTCAATTTAAGTGCCAGGATGACAACTTTAGAAAAACTTGTTAAACCTGTAAAATTTCAGACAGAAGAAATTAACAGTGAAGTTGTTTCAAGTTTGGATCATAAGGTTACAGAAAGAAAGCCTGTTTTCACACAGTCACCCTTAATTTATCCTGTAACCGTACAGCAGTTGCCTGATCAGATGACTACACAAAATATTTGGGCTCCAATTGAAATGTTGGATTTAAAAAGGTTTAAGGAGGCAATAGTATCTTATGGCATGCATTCCCCATATGTAAAGCAAATGTTAAACTCTTGGTCAACATATAATAGGATTATACCACAGGACTGGCAGGAGCTGGCACAAGCTGTTCTTGAACCCAGCCAGAAGCTGCAAATTTTAACTTAGTTTAAGGATGAAGCTAAAAACATAGAAAAACAATGGAGGGATAAAGGAATACAAGTTTGCCAGGATCAGCTTATTGGGGGCCAATATGCTTCAGTACAAGCACAATGTTTATATGACGTCCAAACCCTAATTTTATGTCGAACGGCAGCCTTGAATGCATGGGACAGAGTTGAGGAACCAGGAAAAAAACCTAAGTCATTTACAAAGCTTATACAAGGCCCAAAAGAATCTTTCACAGATTTTTTACAAAGACTGGCTTCAGCAGTAAAGAGAATGGTCTCGGATTCAGAAGCTAGTAAGATAATAATTGAATCTTTGGCCTTTGAGAATGTGAATGCAGCATGCAAAAGAATAATCAGACCATTAAAGGCAAGATCTGCACCTTTGGAACATTAGATTAGAGACACGGTTAATGTTGAGTCTCATGCTAATGTTGAGCATGATGATATGTGTGTAGGAGAAGCAATTACAAAAGTTTTGAGGAGTATTAGATGTTTTGGATGTGGAAAGCAAGGACATTTGAAAAGGGACTGAAAACAGGTCATTCCTAGAAACAATGTTTCTTCAAGGAACAATGGCAACAGAATGCCTCTTCCTTCTGGAGTATGGAGAAGGTGTGGTAAGGGAAAACACTGGACCAAGGAATGTAGATCAACAAAGGATAGACAGGGTAATCCTTTGCCTCAGTTTTCGGGAAACTCCTGGAGGGGCCTCATGCAGGCCCCCATAGGAAATCCAGTTCAAACCTTTCCTCCAACCATAGAGGAAACCCCTGCTCAGAGCGATTAAATAACCAAATGCCTATTGGAATAAATCATGCTGGTCAGGATGATGAAACAGAGAGAATAGAAAATTCAAGAAAAAACATAAAGAAAATTTTTTGGCAAACTTCTATTAATGAACAAAGACCAAAATTAACGATAAAAATAAGTGGTGTTTTGTTGTCTGGTGGTCTGGTAGACACAGGTGCGGATGTTACCATAATTGCACCAAAATTTTGGCATCCAATTTGGCCTCGTCAGGAGGTAAACATTCAACTGTTAGGAACTGGGATATTATCTCAGGTGAAACAGAGTGCAAGATGGCTTGAATGTATAGGTCCAGAAGGGCAGAGAGGAAAATTAAAACCATATGTGGCTAACATAGCTATGAACCTGTGGGGTCGAGACTTGTTGCAACAATGGAATACTCAGATTAACATCTCTCCAATCTCGGAAACAAATCATAAACTAGCACATGTTTCTGAGAGAAATATTAGAAGGCATTATTTTGAGTGGTCACCAGCCATCCATATTATACAATAACAGGGCACAACAATTGATGATCTTCCAAAGACACCAACAGCTCTACCTCTAAAATGGTTAACAGACAAACCTGTATGTATCCAGCAATGGTCTTTAACAACAGAGAAACTCCAGGCTTTAGAAGAGCTGGTAGAAGAACAGTTAAATGCTCAGCATATTGAAGAATCAACCAGTCCTTGGAATTCTCCTGTATTTGTTATTAAAAAGAAATCTGGTAAATGGAAAATGATAACAGACCTTAGAGCAATTAACAAAGTAATTCAGCTAATGGGCTTTCTACAATCTGGGATTCCTTTGCCTACTCTGTTACCAAAAGAATGGCCTCTAATAGTTATCGATTTAAAAGACTGTTTCATTTCAATACCCTTACAAGAAAAAGACAGAAAAAGATTTGGTTTCACAGTGCCTACTTATAATAATTCTCAACCAGTTAAAAAATTTCAATAGAGGGTCCTCCCATAGGGAATGTTGAATAGCCCAACTCTGTGCCAATATTTTGTACAACAGCCATTGGAAGTGATACGTAAAAAATTTCCTAAATCTATAATTTATCTTTATATGGATGATATTTTACTAGCTGACTCAAATGCAGATACTTTAGAAAGAATGTTTGAAGAAGTAAAGAAAATTTTGCC